CTAGGGAAGTATGGAGCTGTATTTGTCTTGAAATGTGGCCCATGTGGGAGTGTCTGTCTCTTCCTAGTTGCAAGGTCACCTTATCTTCCATCATGTCCCCTTGAGGGCCTGGCTCTGATTGCCTATATTTCTGTCTAACTCGGCTGCCTGCAACACTTCGGCGCCAGCCTCCCAAGGAGTTGGGATTACTGGCGTGGGCCTCAATGCCCCACAATCCCTCTTGGGCTTCTTTTCTCCTAAGCCACTCTTCAACCTTTGATGTCCCAGGTCACTGAGTGGATATAGGAAGTGATAAGTGGTGGCCGCTAAAGTCTTCCCTGGCTGCACAAACAACTCCCAGAATTCTGCCCTGAAACCTCAGGAAGGGCATAGGAGAGAGAAACTGAGAAGAGGGCAAACCCCAGGCACAACCTCCCAGATGTCTGGACTCCACCTTCTGGTCCATAGCTCAGATTTCTCTTTTACAGAGAGGGAAACAAAAACCCTGAAAGCACAGTGACATTCTTAAGGCTGCCAAGCCTTGACAGAGGTGGGAACAGCCTGTACAGCACATCTCTGATTCTCACTCCGGAGACAGAGGCAGGAGAACTGCTGCAAGTTTGAGGTCAGCCTGGGCTACGCAGCGAGACCCCATCTCAAACAAACAAACACCCCCCCCCAAAAAAAAAAACAATGAAAAAGTGAGCTCAACGATTACAGAAATTCAAGTCATGCAAACGCAAAGACGCCATCTTTGTCTGGAGCTAAATTTAAGCGTTTTTCCAGCATCCAGGCTGCAGGCCCAGATGATGCAGGATTTGGGAAAGGCAGCCTTCCGGCAGGCAGCCCCTGTGAGGCCAGGACAGTCACTGGGCAGCAGAGGGCGCTGCACAGCCACGAGCCTCGCCTTCAGGACTCCTGGGGTCACACTTTCCCAGACAGCCCTGCGCCTCTCCTGAGGCCTCAGGGGCTCTGGGATCCTAGAGCAATTTCTGTCCTCTGTACCAGAAACCCGAGGGACCTCTGAGAAGGCGCTGGGGGAAGGGAGCAAAGAGAATAAGACGCTGGAAGTCAGGCAGGCGCGGCAGCTTTTGCCTGCCACTGCATCTTTGTGAGTCTGTCAGCGGGCTCAGCGACCCATCAGCTTCAGTCAGCTTTCTCCATAATTCTGTGGTATCAGGAGGCTCCGCGTCAACATTCCACGGATGTGTTAAGGACCCACCCTGTGCCACCAGAGTCCTTGGTGCTGCAGAATCTCAAGGGCAGAAAAGGAACAAGGCCCCGCCCTGGAGTTTATGGTGTAGGAGTAAAGACAGATTTTAGTCACATCCCCTGGAGCTCAGAGAGGAGGAAAGGCACAGGCAAGCTGATCTCCCTGGTGGAGTGAGGAGAAAGCTGGAAA